GCCCAAGACGTGGGCCCAAGATGTGGGCCTGAATCATGGGCCTGCTGTCCCAAGGAGGGGTGGCTCAGAGCTCCCCACACTGCCTCTGTCTGACCTGCCGGCTGCCCGGCCCTGCCTCCTGTCACTGCCTCCACAGCTCCTTCAGTGGGAAGGATCCTTTTTATTTATTTACTTATTTAACAGACCTCCAGCTTCTGCACCCTCCTGACCATAGAGACATGCCCAAACAAGGTGAGATTGGCTGATGGATCTGCTCAGGGTCTCTGTTTCCCTTCCCCATCACACCGGATATCCAGTGCTGGGGGAGGGTGGCCCCGGGGGCAGCTGCAAAGTGGCTGCCCGAACAGCAGTGTGCTCCCCGGGACGCACCGATGAGTCACAGGGCGTCTAGGCCCTCGAGTAACGCAGCCGGGACAGAGTGGGGACTATTGCAGGCCTGACTCTCGAAGGCTACCTTAGTCATGAAACCGGAAGCACTCTATCAGAAAGCATCGCTCGCCAGGGCCCAGCCCCACCCTGGCCATCTGCCTCACTGCCACGGGGAGTGGTGAGATTTGCAAAGACTGACTCATGCAGATATGACTCAATCTACATTGTGAGTGTGCAGTTTACCGATGTGTCACCAGGGTCTGCACCAGCCACAGCCCGTGCCTGTGAGCCTGCCATCAGGGCCCCCCTTTCCCGAGAGGAGTGCCGTAGGTTGGTCACGAGGTTCTGCACAGCAGTGCTGGGGGCTCTGGGACCAACATGACCACGGAGTCAGTCAGGAGAGTCACTGAATGGTCCGTCTGGGGGCTGCAGCAGTGGCGGCCCCTCCACAGGGCCAGGGGGCCCCTGCAGTCTGTAGAGAGCCAGTTTGGATGCAGGGAAGGTGGAGGGAAGGGCAGAGAGGAGGACCACACACAGAGCCCATATCTCCTCCCAGCACCGTGGGCGTCTCAGCTGCTGCCCTCAGTGGCATTGGAATTCAGCACCAAGGAGTGGCTTCTTGATTCAATTTTACACAGAAGCACAGCCTCAGTAGGCAGAGCCTGGGACAGTGTCACCGCACGGCCAACCCTGAGTGAAGCTCTCGGCCAGACGAATGCCTGGTTTTCCACCTGAGCCTCAGTCTGGTCCGGACGGAGGCCTCAATGTCAGCGTCAGCAGCAGAGTGGAAGAGTGACTCAGAACACACAGCTCACGGGCTGAGAAGAAGGGTCAGCCCTAAAAACAGAGTCATCACAGGCCTGGCGGCTTTCCTCTGCTATGCAGAGCCAGGCTGGCGGGGGTCAGCTAGGGACCTGGGCACCCAGGCCTCCCTGGCGGGGCTGCGAGGACGGCAAGGAAACCCGAGGTGACACGCAGGCACTCTACCGCTCGCGCTGCTCACACAGGCGGGGCGTTTTCATGTCAGATGGGGCGTGTGTTCACATTTCTCAGGATTGAAGAGTGACTCAGGACAACAGGCCGCCCCAGGAAGGAGTGACAGCAGCACCCCTAGAGGCCTGCTGGGCGCCTGGCTCTGTGCTCAGAGCAGCCTGGGAGCCCCGGGGAGCGCCAAGCTGTCCACACCGCTCGCAGCCAGCAGGCGCGCATGCGCACTCACGAACCCGTGAAAGCATCAGGGAACCACAGGAATGCAACCTGGTCTCCATGGAGCTCTCACGCTGAGGAACTCAGGAGCCGACTTTTCTCTGCAGGGGGGACGTTTCCATGTGCCCTGCAGTGAGGACACTGGCACCGCCTGCCCTTCACCTTGTCGGCGCATGAGAAGCACTGGGACAGTGGCAGCTCCTGGTCCCTGAAGGGCTCCCCTACCCCCAGGAGAGACAGCTCAGAGGTCCAGACCTTCCAGGCTCTCACGCTGCCCTCAGCCCCGTCCGGGCCCTGGGCGCTGGTTTGCACAAGGGCCGGCCCCACCCCCCAGGTCAGGACAGGGCTTCGTCCTGCAGCTGCTCCCCGCAGTCTGGGAACCGTGGACCCTCTGGCTGGGGTGGTGTGGGGGGCAGCTCCTGCCTGGCGAATCCCGGTCTTTGAGCCCCAACTTGTTTCTGTGTTAGTCAGCCCCCAAGAAACCAATTCTTAATCTGACGCTAGGATACTTCTCTTCATCCGATTTACAAAACCCACTGACCGGCCCAGGCTAACGCAGCTCAGGATCAGAGGAGACTTATCCTCCCAGTCAGTGCCCAAGCCTCAGAAGGGAGACTCCCTTACCCTTCGCCCCAACAGTGGATTCAAGGGTAGAAACTGTTCAAATAATATGTTTTTTTTTCTGCCAAGTATCTTTCCTATGGGAATTCTATTCATAGTATTGCCCACTGTACTCAAAGTCTTGCTACTTTTCAGATGGTGGAGATTTAAAGGAGGGGGTGGAACTGGGCTGTGGGAGGGGTGCTCTTCTCAGACAGAGAGAGTGGGAGGGGCCACATAATCTCCATGGAAGAGATGCCTTTGCCGTGTGATTCCTTCGAGAAATACTTGATGGGCCCTGACCGGTGTGGCTCAGCAGGCTGGGCGATGTCTTGCCAAGCCACAGGTGGCTGGATCGATTCCCGGCCAGGGACACAGGCCCGGGTTGTGGGCCAGGTCCCCATCTGGGGGGTGGGGTGAGAGGCAACTGGTTGATGTTCAGTTTATCTTGTGCATGGGTGTTTCTCTCCTTCTCATTCTCCCTCCCTTCCCCTCTCTCTAAAAATAAATAAATAAAATCTTTAAAAAAAAGACACACTCATCCATCACCCCGCAGATCTGGGGACAAGGCGGAGATCAAGCCCCAGCCCCTGACTGGGGGAGCTCACGTGCCACAGGGGACACAGACAACAGACAAGTGGATGTTTTTAAAATTTCGAAGTACCACAAAGGAAATGAGGAGCGTGATGAGATGGGGGTGAACACAGCTGTCCAGTACGAATGAATCAAAATAGTACGCATTTTTTATCACATCAGCAAAAAACCTGGTTTTTGGTGTGCCGCCCGTGGAATTTTAGTAGCTAGTCCATGTGTGTGCCCCGAGATGAAAAAGGCTGAAAATCGCTGCTCTGGGTGAAGAGGAGGGCGCTGCTGTTTTTGTTCCTTTGCACAAGTTTAAGACACCTCTACAATGCCCTCAAGAAAGAAAAAAGGAGAACAATGTACTTACCATTGTAAATTGCCATTGGTTGTAACACACGTTTTGATTCCAGATATTCAAATGTGTTAAAATATAGGCCTTAGTGTGAATGTAATACATGAATTCAAAAGCCTACAAGGGAACAAAGGCTTGAGCAAATGCGAAGAATCTGATACGTCTGCAGCTGGTGAGCTGATGGAGAAACAGGTCTGAGGTCTCAGGAGGCAAAAGATTCAATCCCCGGTTTTGGGTTTGAGCGCGAAGGGACGAGGAGGGTGCCCTCTGCTGAGACAGAAGAGACTTTGTCACTGCCAAGACGTCTGTTTCAGATCTGTCTTACATATTTTAAGGGGCACTTACGAGAAGGCAGGGGGAAAGAGACTTAATATTCCTCTGAAACTCAAAGCTTATGAAAAGGCTTTTGTCCCACGCCTATCAGGAGCCCAGGGAGCCCAGACACTGAGAGCTGAAGAAACCGGATAAGGTCGTACACGTACAAAATTTTATGTCGCAGCGCACTGTGTCGCCACAATCAGCAAACTGCAGGGCCCGAGAACGCTTCCACTCTGTTCGTCCCCATAAAGAGGGATGGAATTGCCACGTCATCTACAAAGCCAAGTCTCTTCACAATATACGGCCCAATTTCACAGACAAACTATTCACAGCGATAAATTTCTCATTGGGGCCGCTGGCCAGCACAATGATAGTGTCCATATGGCATGTTTACAACAAATGCCATGGCATGTATCCTGTCACTTTAATGCCATGACCTTCCCAAAAGGCAGGGAACTCTGGGACTATGACCTGCAATTGTACAGATCGGAAAAGTGATGTCTGGCTCCTAATGGCATGTGCAGGTGCTGGAAATCAGCCCTGATCACGACATTGCAGCCCTGGTCCCCGGCCCCAGATGCTAAAGCCCTTGGTTACTTCCCTATTGTCACTGTCCCACCCCCAGGCGCTATTTGTGTTTCTTTTCCTTGTTTTTAAAATGTTTATTTATTTATTTTTAGAGAGAGGGGAAGGGAGGGAGAAAGAGAGGGAGAGAAACATCAATGTGTGGTTGCCTCTTGTGCGCCTCCTACTGAGGTCCTGGCCCACAACCCAGGCATGTGCCCTGACTGGGAATCGAACAGGCGACCCTTTGGTTTGCAGGCCTATACCCAATCCACTGATCCACACCAGCCAGGGCGCTGTTTGTGTTTCTACAGTGAGATCAAGGATGGTCCATCCCCCTGCTGTACTTTCTTAAGTTCATTTAGGTCATGCCTTCTGCTCACACAACCTTTAAGTGATAAAATACAAGCATGGCCAAGGCCACTGGTGCCCCAGGGCAATGAGGGCTGCCACTACGCTTTGGAGATAGACCAGCCTTGGTCTCTGCAAGGTGTCTGAACAAAGGTTAACTGATCCTGCTCTCCGCCTCCAAATACTCTGTCCCAGAACACATCGTCTCCCCGCCCACCAGGAAGTGTTCAGTGTTTGTTTTTCAGGAAGGAGGAAGAGGAAGTGCTTTTTCACACGTTAATGAATGTTAAGCCAGTGGTTTTAAAGTCTGGCTAATAATTAGACTTCCTTGGAGAGCTTCTAAATAACATGGTTACTGTGTTTTTACTATATTGAAATCTCCGTATTTATTAAATTAGACTCTCTGGGGGTGGGGTTAGATGGAGGAATTTGATTATTTCTACGGTCCCTCATAATTCCTCTGGGGAGGTGCAGCTGGGAGTGGCCCTCCCAAGATGATGTGGCCGTTCCCTGGGGTGAGCCCTCCACCCTCCTCCCTCTCTCACCCCTCACAGTCTCCTCAAGACCAAATTATGCCCTTGCTCCTGTAAATTATTAACTCTGCTCCTTCACTGGCTCCTCTCAACCTAATTAAGAACCCAGAGCCCGGTCCCACGGAACGAGATCACTGAGAGACGGCCTGAGAGTCCAGCTGGTTAGCACATGCTTCAGGTCAGAACTTCCCACCAGCGCGCCACACGCGCGTGAAACAAGACAGAGATGCCCCGGCTTCCCGGTGGCCAGTGCAAAGCCAGCCACAGGCCCTGGGCTGGTGGCTGTCCTCCTGCGTGAATGCTGCACCCACGAGTCCCAGGTGCCTTCCCAACGGGGTCGTTTCCGTGGACGCCAAGTGGTGACAAAGGTGAGGAGGCGCTGCCCTAGGCAATGTCTAGGCACAGTCCAGCCGAGGACAGACCGCTGCCTCGTGCTGGTGTCCCCCATCCTCCCATCCAGGCCAGGGTCTTTCCTCTCCGCCCTGCAGACTCGGCTAGGGTGGCTTCCCCACCCACAGCTCCCGCTCCCGCCGCCACAGACCCACCGAGCCCTGGTGTCTGAGGTCCACAGCCACTGCTCGACTGCCTTGTGACCACGCACTGTTACACGGCCCAAGGGTCCTTCAAAACCGTTCTGTTCCAGGCCCGGGATGGAAGATAAATCTCTGCGGGTCCTAAACCGACTCCTCCTCCCTCCCCAGAGTCTGATGAAGTGCTTCAACTGTGGCGGTCAGTGTGATCCTCACCTGCCCCGCTAGGTGGTCGAGTTACGGCAGGGACTTTATTTCTGCTCCTTCGATCTACCTGGGTGCTGTCTCCCCACTTTTCCCATAAGAGAGACTTACGCAGCAGGTTCCACCTGAACCACTTGTGAGGTAGCCTGCGGGATGCACCCGACAGGAGCTGGATTGAATTAGTTCTGCCACCTCAGCAGCTATGTCACTTTAGACCAGTGACTCTATTTTTATTATAATTATTTTTTCCTACCTGAATATTGAGACAAGATAATTCATTTCATTGAGTTGCTTCGGAACAGCTCACAAAATGCCGGGCACACAGAAAGTCAGTAATAATTAGTGCCCGCTCCTAACACTCACGTGTGGGGCGGGCGCTAGGCAGCCACCCCACGAAAGAGAATGACGACTCAGACTGCCAATAAAACATCCCCAGTGTCACCTGGGGTGACGTCTATCTAATTGTGTCCATGAGAGGATTAAACGAGATAGCACATGAACACCATCTGAAGAGGCCTGGCACACACCGGTGTCCCCTAGACACAAGCTCTGTGGGAACACATCTCTGTCGACGTGTCCCAAGTGCCTAGAGTTACGCCTGTTGAACTGCAGGAACTCCAGAATATCTGCTGAGAAAATAAATGCTAGTTCTCTTCCCTCGTTTCTACTTTTTTAGTCATTCTGAACAAAGCATTAAAAAGTTTATGCTCCAAGACCTGGCTGGCGTAGCTCAGTGGATTGAGTGCAGGCTGCCAACCAAAGTGTCTCAGGTTCAATTCCCAGTCAGGGCACATGCCTGGGTTGCAGGCCATGCCCCCAGCAACTGCACATTGATGTTTCTCTCTCTCTCTTTCTCCCTCCCTTCCCTAAAAAAAACCAATTAATTAATTAATTAAAGTTTATGCTTCCCACATATCTTGCCTGTGTTGGGCATATACATTCAGTTTGCTGTTGCCAGACACGAGAAACAAGGCAGGATTAGACAAGGCAGGGACTTTATTTCTGCTCCTTCAATCTAGCGAACAGGAGTTCAATGGCCTAACAAAATCCCTTAATAGCAAAACACAAAAACCCATCTGGGAGAGAGAGGCGGTGTGAGACGCAGCCGAGCCGCAAGGGATGAGAGCAAACGCTGCCGACTGAACAGCATTATTTCAGGGGAGCAGCTTTGAGGCGACAACAGGAGAATCTAGAGGTGAACGTCCTGTCGGTACAGAGCAGGTGGCGGGTAGCAAGGAGGAGGGGGGAATAGAATTAGAAACAGCAGGGACGCAGCCTAGCCTGGCACAGCCCAGGCTCAGGGGACAGCTGGCACCGGGCGAGGGCCCAGCTGCCCGAACGCCGGCTGAGAGCGGTTGGGGGAGATGGGCACCGCGTTGGCGATAAACAGAGAGGGAGGGAGCGGAGCATGCAGCGGCAGTGAACGAGTCAGACGGCAGAACTCGGGGTCTGGGGCCCTTCACTCCTGCGGGCACCCGTTCAACATAACTCGGGGAGTCCTTACATTGTGGGCGGCAGAACTTGGGGAGCGTGACACACAGTTGAAGGGTTTACATGGCTCGTTCTTTCCCTCTCCACAGCACACCAGCGTCTCCCCGAACACCTAGCGGCAGTAAACAAAGCTGCAATTACAGACGGCGGTTCTTCTGGGCTGCGGGTGCCAGGCAGCTTCTGTGGGAGCACCAGGACCTCACGGGTGGCTGTGTGTCAGCAGGAGGAGTCCAGAGGTGCAGCCATCCTGTGGGAGGGTCACAGCCGAGGGTGCCTGCGCCCCCTGCACACGAGGAAGGCAGAGTTCCATCCGTGCACAGTCAACGAGAACACGCAACCTACTGACCCTCGGTTTTGAAAGAAAATATATAAAAAAAATAGTATTGCTGTCAGATAGTGAGACTTGCCTCACCAGAGAACTTGTCTGCTAGGTGTTTATATTTACATTTGTTTATATCTCTATTTAATTATTTCAGCAGGAAGCATGAGGTCTCTGGACCACAGTCACAAAGCACCTTGGCAGTCCCAGTTCCCGTGCCTCAGTTTCCCAAGTACTTTCCCCTAAGTGTCTCAGAGTTTTGCTTTATGCTTAAGTCCATGGTTCATTTTGAGTTAATCTTTGTATAACACATAAAACTTAGATCAAGATTAAGGACCCCCCCACCCTGCGTTTTCTGCCCCTGTGGAGGTCAATTGCTTCACTATTTGTATTTGTCATAAAGGCAGTATTTTCACCCTGGCTGGTGCAGGTCGGTGGGTGGAGCGCTGGCCTGTGAACCGAGGCATCACTGGTTCAATTCCCAGTCCGGGCATATGCCTCAGTTGTGGGCCAGGTCCCTGGTTGGGGGTGTGGGAGAAGAGGCTGGTAGACGTTTCTTTTGCACATGTCTACACATTGATGTTTCTCTCCCTCTCTCCCCCTCTGGAAATAAATACATAAAATCTTTTTTAAAAAGGCCACATTTTCTCCATCAACTTCTTTCTACACCTTTGTCAAAAGTTAGTCTGTCATATTTGTGTGCCTTTATTTCTGGGCTCTCCACTCTGCTCCATTGATTCAAGTGTCTAGCCCTCTATCAGTACCACCCAGTTTTGACTATACAATAAATTTTAATTTAATTTTTATAAAGTTTAACAGGCATTGTTTAGATACAGCAAAAAGTAAAACTGTTAATACCAGTGGAATGAAGTAGTTCCTTCCTTTTAAAAACCAAGTAACATTCTACTGTGTATGTAGATATTTTGTTCATCCACTCATCCACTCATCAACATTTTCACTGTTGTTGGCTGCAGTGCTAATGCTGCTATGAACATGGGTGTACAAGTACCTATTCGATTCCCTGCTTTCAATTCTTCTGGTGTAAACCTAGAAATTGAATTACTGGATCATATGGAAATTCTGTTTAATGTTTTGAGGATCTGCCACATATTGGTAACCACAATGGGTGCACCTTTTTACATTCCCACCTATAGTTCACAGGGGCTACAAATTCCCCACAACCTCGTCAACTCTATTGTCTCCTGTGGGCTTTGGGGGTGTTGCCATTCAATGGGTATGGAGTAGTGTCTCACTGTGGTTTTGTGTGCAGTTTTTCCAACAGTCACTGAGCTTTTTGTATGCTTATTGGCTATTTGCATATTATCTTGCTGGGGAAGTGGAGAAATGTCTGTTCAAGTCCTCTACCCGTATTTTACCTGGGTTGTTGTTGAGTTGTAGTTCTTTATACATTCTGGGTATTAATTCCTTATCCAATAAGTCATATGCAAATATTTTCAGTCTTTTGTGTTTATTTTATATACAATGCCCAGGGGTATAGTTACTGACAGAAATTCTGCATCTTCTTGGACACAGAATTCGAAGTTTACCTTGATTTGCTAAGACATGAGGTCTTAAATATTCCCACCGCAAAAAAGAAGTAATTATGTGACATGGCAGACGCTGTAGCTAATGATGCAATGACAATCATATTGTAATACGTAAAAGCATCAAATCAACGTTATACCCCTTAACTTGCACAATGATCCATGTCAAATATATTTCAATTGGAAAAAATGAGAAGGGAAAGTGAAGCTGGGGATGAAGGAAATGACACTTGAATAGTGAGACTGATGGCCCAAGGCCCCCTGGGTGTCTGTGGCAAAGCCTGCAAACAATTCATTGTCTTAGGACCAGCCTCATTTTAAATTAAGTCACCCATGTCATTGTGAAAGTGTCAGAACTTCTCAGTGGCTGGTGAGACCAGCTACATTTGATGAAAAGAAACTCACATCAAAGGTTTTGAGAAAGCAAGCTGTTGAATGGATTTCATCCATGTTGAAGAAATCAAGTTGATGGCCAATGTTCTATTTCATCAGAAGCCAAGGTACAGGGGGCTGTGGGAAGGCCATGAGGGGGGATGCCCCAACACCCCACAGGACACCCGCTGCCTTGGCGTCTGGGTTAACCTCTGGGTTAACCTCTCAGCTTCCTCTCAGCCACAGCACCCCCACTCCGCCTTGGGTCCCCTTCAGCTGGTCTCAGGAGTGGAGTTAAAGAGTTAAGGGAAGGGGCCATGACAGCGCTGCCTCTGAATCTCTGGGCTGCAGAGATAGCTGGCAGGGACCAGAGTATTTGAGTTCCCCCCGCCATTAGCCAATGAAGCAAATTCAGGGCTGCCAGAACCCCCAGGGTTCCAGGATAATGAGGAGCTGAGATTACAGACTCACCTTCTGCGAGGCCCCCTGGCAGATGCCACAGCTACGCCAAGTCTTGCCCCAGAACGGAACAGCGTGCTTTTTCCGGCGCTGACGGGGCACTCAAACCTTCCTCTGCGTCACACATGGCGTTGTTCTCTGGAGTAAAGGACAGTGGGCTAATGTGCTTGGACTGCCTCACAGAACAGTGTCTGCGCATTCTGAGGGAGAGGGAGGGGAGAGGGAGGGGAAAACCCCCTCCTGCGCGGTGTCAGAGTCTCAGGGAGCTGATGAGTGTGGGAAGCAAACACCTACTCTGTCCCATGCAGCCTCTCCTTCCTAAATCGGAGGTAATACTTTGAGATTCTAGTTACGTCAAAAAATTTGGGGCACGGGTTTTTTGCTTCCACCAAAGGAAGGCTTCTATATAAATAGGTTAATAAACATACCCTAGGGGTAGTCACTGATATTTTTATTGCTTTCTCCTGGAAAGACTCTTATCGCAGAGAGAAGTCTGAATGGTCCACGGGTCAGAGAGCAGCTCGGAAAAATCGAACATGCCTCCTGGGAGGAGAACCCCTGCAGAGTTTTCATTTGCTTCCAGGCAGGAGCTGAGCTGGAAAATCTAAAAAGTCAGATTCTGCTTCTCCAGCTTTGAGACGGCCACAGCACCAGCGCCGCTAAAGGGAAGGGGCTCTCAGGCGGAACGTGCTCAAGCTGAGCCCTCCAGCTTCCCCGCAGGACTGAGGTCTCCCCCGAGGGGAAGGAGGGAGCCGCTCCCAGCCCTTTGCCTCCAGGAACACGCGGTGGGATCTGCCCACCTCCCCGGAACGCAGTGCAGACATGCCCCACCCATCTTCTCCCCAGCAGGGCTCTCTGCGCTCCAGGGGACTGTCCCCAACAACGCTGCGCCAGGCAATGGTGCGCTCCGGAGCCAACACTTCTCCTGGAGTTTTCTAGCTCAATGGAACCTAACTGGCCTTGTCTATGCCCCAGGTCCCCCCACTCCCAGACTCCCTTCTCCAGTGCCTACCTGAACCAGTGGAGCAGGTCATGGTCACGGGATGGACCTGCGGGCGCCGCCCTGGGCAGCGTGACCTGAAGCTTGGGGCAGCTGGGCTGCCGCGGGCTCCACGATGGCCTCTGGAACAATGTGTCAGGCCGCCAGTCCTCAGAGCAGTCCCCACTCATCGAAGTTCCAGTTACCCATGGCCAACTCGGCCAAGAAATACTACAAGGAAAATTCCAGAAATAAGCAATGTAAATTTTCAATTGCGCAGGTGCTGTGCTGTGTCCCAGGATGAAAAATCGCGAGTCTCGCGAGATTTGTCCAGAGGCTCCGCGCTGTGTCGTGCCCACTTGCCAGTCACGTGGCAGCAACAGGCAAGCGATCAGATGGGCGGTCTGGGCGCCCCAGTGTTCGTGTTCAAGTCACCCTCTTCCCGCCCAGCTGTGGCCCCAGGCCCAAGAGGAGTTATGGTGGCGGCTCCGCTGTGCCGCAGAGAAGCGGAAAGAGCTTCCCCGAAGTGCAACAGTGAGGGCAGTACAGTACGATGGTCTAAGAGAGAGACTAAGACCATATTTGCATCACTTTTATTATAATATATTGTTATCATTGTTCTGCTTTATTACTATCGTTGTCAGCCCCTTACTGGGCCTAGTTTATAAATGAACTTTATCCCAGGAATGCATGTCTAGGAAAAAACAGCATGCAGAGGGTTTCAGACTGTCCGTGGTTTGAGGCATCCACTGAGGGTCTTGGGACTTTCTCTCCACGGATAAGGAGGGACGGCTGTATCGGCACAGAAAGTTCACAGAATGAAGGCGAGTCGAATAAATGAAGTTGCTGTGCTGGTCCCCGCCCATGATAATAGTGCCTGTGGGCTCCGGATGCCTGAGGCTCTGCTAGGTGACGGATGTCTACCCCTGCCTGCAACAACACTGTGGATGGACGCCCCTGGTGGTACTTACTCTGGTGCACGCGACACCACAGCAGAAACCACAGGGCACTCTGAGGACCCACTTGTCACTCACAGGTGCCGGAGGGTACTCGGCATACCCAGGGCCACACAGTGAGGCCACAGGTAGAGAAAGCCTGCAGACCTGGAGCTCTGCCTTTAGAGGGTCCAAGGGGGGTGTCTAGGGTGAAATGGGCCCCCTCTTGATTGTCTCGTTTGAATCACAGGAGTGGGAATTAGGGCACGGGCAGGGAGCAATGGGGTCCCTCAAGTGGTCAGTTATGTAGGCTGCCCATGGCTTTCTAAAGGATGGAAATTAGGGATAGCCTAACCCCTTATCTGGCTGTTTGCTAGTAGTCGTGTTAATTTTTTTTGGCTTGTGCCACCAGAGAATTGTTGAAAGTGTGCCACCACAGACTTTGTCAGCAACTGGGTGGCAACACTCTCCTCCATTTTCTGTGGGTTGGGAAACCAGAGTGGTAATTTTACTAGAAGTGTGTGCCATACCTGTAAGTTCTTCTTTTTAAATAAAGATTTTATTTATTTTTAGAGAAAGGGAAAAGGAGGGAGAAAGAGAGGGAGAGAAACATCAGTATATGGTTGCCTCACGTGGCCCCCTACTGGGAACCTAGCCTGCAACCCAGGCATGTGCCCTGACTGGGAATCGAACTGGTGACCCTCTGGTTTACAAACCATGTGCAATCCATTGAGCTTCACTAGCCAGGACTGTAATTCTGAATGAAGCAAAGAGGGGGCTCACATCTTCTTAAAGGCACTTTACTGCGAGGCTGTGAAAAATCCTTAGAAGCATATTTGTCCACAAGGCCAGGTTCCTGACTGTGTGTGAGAAAGCCGACGTTGCCTAGGTGAGATTTCTGGAGCAGTGTCTTCAGCAAACAATCCCATGAGTTGTTTCACATAAGAGGCTTAAACGTCCCAAGTTTCTATCAAGTAAAACTCTTGGAGACTCATCCATCACTTGAGGGAAAACTTGAAATGCGCTAAAGAGACAGATTTAAAGTTTTACTGGGCAGAGTAAAATAAAGTAAATGATAAATACCATTAGTATTTCAGTTTCAGCTTTCTAAGGAAGTTTTGATTCTAAATTTGCCAAGAACGATCTGTTTGGCCATGAAACTGACCCAAAAAGTGCGACCTTCCTTCCTGACTTGAGATATCGGCTGGGGTCCCAGGTCTCCTCAGCATCCTGGCTCCGACAGCCAATCACAGAATGCGTGCATCGTGCGGCACTCAGGAAGCCCTGCCCCTGATTTCCGAATAAGTAACCGAGAGCCCATGGCCAACTTCCAATGTGCGCTTATGCCAATTTAAATCAAACTCTTATTTGAAGCAAATATTACACGCTTTAATAAGAAGCCAGCGTGCTCCTGGTAAACTTCACAGGGTTAAAAAGGCTTTGTATTTACCTTATCAGTTATTTTGAGGTCTGTCTGTACATTTGTAAATATCCCCACCTTCATTTCGCAAAAAGCACAGAGGGCTGGTTTGTAGACAGTATGGGTGCAACTGTTTCCCAGGCGAGGAAATGACTCCATGTGTTAGTAACCTGACCGTTCCCAGTTGTCCTGAAGTGACCTTATTGATCTGTTCAGAAAAGGTCCCTTTTACTCCCGTTCACCTTCCTCTTCTACTTCTGAACAAACCCCTTTCAGAGCTCTTGGGGGCATGATAACGATCAAGAAAAACCAGTTTCGTAAATGGGGTCACCTGGGCCACTCTGTCCCAAGGATTTCCTTTGTCAGATTCCTCTAATTTCTGAAAGGCTGAGAATGCCTCCTCTGAGGTCCTGTTCTCTCCTCACAAGAGTGTGTGTCTGTTGCTCTAAATGAACACACCCGCGGGACTCGTGGAAGTTTAAGCTCACACACAGTAGCACACGCCTTGAATGACTCATTTCTGCTGCTTCTCTGTCCTCTGGGCATTCTGCAGGGCTCTGAGGAGCTCCGTCTAGAACATTCCTGCCCCACAGTGGCTCCTTCAGCCGATCCCCTGCTCACCACTCTGAACCCCCTTCTGTGGTCCACTGTCTCACCTCCAAGCAGAGGGCCCAGCGTCCGTCCTGGTCAGTGCCCCTCCCTCAGGACCACCGGGCAGCATCTGTCCCTCGGCCGATGACGAAGTCCAGGGACGATGCTCCCTTACGTTGAGAAGCTGGCAGGGCGTGGGGAGTGCACGTGCTCCAAGTTCTCCACCTCACCCTGCACGTTAACAACAACAGAGCCAGTGTGAAGGGCACTGTGGCGCAGTGTACCCCCTGCAGATTCACAGAAGCTTTGAGAAGTAAGGTCTGCACTCGGCTGTTCCTGTTATCCCAACGCAGTATGTCTCCTGAGGGCGCGTCTGCACGCGTTAGACCTGCTGCATCCCCTCTCGTGGGGGCAGGCCAGTCGCTCCTCCTGCACTGAACAAAAAGCAACGACACCCCCAGCTGTAACCACTGTTTCTGAGACTTATCCTTCTGCGCTGGGCACCGTTCCAAGCTCTGTGACACCGAACATACCAGACCTCAGCTGCCGGCCTGCCTGCTGAGAGCCGACTTCCACGGTGGAAGGAAGACAGAACCGTGCTCACGGGGTAGCAGGACCCAGGCGGGGAGGAAGCAAGGACCGCCTGCAACTCCTCACGGGAGAGCCCTGCTGAGGACAGCTCAGCACTGGAGCAGGGAGCGGCGTGGGGGCTGCGGAGCCAGGAAGTCCTGACCTGCTTCTGCTGCTCACACAAGATGGCATTTTATACAACTGAGAAGGGCCTTGCTGTAAGCCAGGGGATCCCGTGTCTGAAGGCTGAACCAGTGGGGGCAGGGCTGGGGACCAGTACTTGGGGTGGTATGTGACGATGCAGCACAGGTTCTGAGTGAGTGCCCTGAGGGAAGGCTGTGCAGCCAGCTCCACTCATAGGCAGGGGTTAGTTCTAGCAACACCTTGCGCCCCACCTGTAGGACAGCTCCTATGGGAGGTGAGGCACAGCCAGCAGGTCACTGGGCATTCCTTATCATGCAGCGTCACAAAGTCTGTCTGATTTCCTCTCCTGAATCATGTCCTGACACATCACTGACATGTCACCTTCATGGTTTCTACAAAGGAGTTCCTACAGGTAACCTACATGGAAGAAAACTTTTCCTGAAATATGAAAGCGTAAGATTGCAACCAGCTATAATTTTTATTTATTTCCATGGATAACTTAAAAATTCTCAGGTAAATCTGACAGTCTCTTCATCTGGGGCTTCTACGGTCACATTCCACTGTGTAGTCTAGGTGACTGCAAATCACATTGCACTTTCAAAGCAAGTGTCTCAACCCAGTTTATAAATCATATTCTACACGACGTGTCCGCCCCCAGAGAAATGCTCACAGACCTCTGACATTGTACTATTTATTGCAAGAGGGTAGAAACATTCATTGTAGCAGAATACTATAGGCATTTGCTCCTCACTGCATTATACCTCTTTATTTATTGTAGCAACTCTCGATTCTTTAGTATAAAAAGAAATCAAGAGGAAAAATATCTACAATCTTGGGTTAAGAAGTTTGCTGAGATCTGACCTATAACTGTATGTACAGGATATAAACATGTTTATGTTCCATATGTACATAGTTAATGCTGACCTATTCATTATAAACAGTAGGTTTAACGTAGGTGCTACAAAAATAATCATTTGGATGTATGCATGCAAACCAGTACACATGAACTTACTTATAAAACAAATCTCTATGCTTTTATTTGCTTTTAAATATAAATGTTGCTATTTAGCCTTTAGCTAAATGATTTCAAGGCAAACCCTGAAGTCCCCAATTTAAAGTATAAAATCTGCTTCTATCCACGGCAGCGCACTGCTTCAAATAGTCCTCACCTAACAGTACATCTAGATAATTCTGTTGCCTATGAATTACAGGTACATATCCCATTTCCCCAGATATTACAGTCCTCCAGAGTAAACGCTTCCTTTGTTTCACTTGCTTTGTTTTGTTTTTAACATTACAAACAGTAGACATTTGTTAAAATATGTTGGCTTTCACATGGTCATAAACATGACCGCAGCAAAGCCCCTCGCTCCGGGCCTGACCCAGCGCCCCAGGGCAAAGCCATGTGTGCGGCTCAGTGGTGTGCGGGGCCGTCGGCGTGGACTGGCGACGGAGGCGTCACAAAGGGCTCGTCCTGCTTCTGATCCTCTTTCAGGCCGGCTGCCTGGTCTGCGATGGAGGAGAAGGACAGCTGGTCGTGCTCCATGATGTGTGCTTGGTCCTCGTCCTTGTCCTTCTTCACATAGAACATCTTCCTGAACTTTTTCAGCTCGTGGAGTTCACAGAAGGTTTCCAGGACGACCAACATGGCAATGAGGCCGAGCAGCAGGTAGCCTGCGGGAGAGGAACGTGTGTTTCAGTGGGTCCCGTCAGGGTAACCCGAGTCACGCCACAAAGTGTCGGGGGATGGATGAGTAAACTCAATACCACATCTGTAATTTCTAAGAACACCCGGAATCCAGGGCTCAAAGAGGAGGGACTCAGAGAAAACTGAGCACTGACTGCCACAAAATTGGACTATTCAGAATCACATGGTGCAATGTTTGAGAATAAAAAAACAGTTGGGGCTGGTGTGGAATTGTTAGAGGGAGAGAAGACTGTGCTCACCCAAGGGTAACCTTCGGGGGGCACTCCCCACCCCCCACGTGTAAGCAGTGGCTCTCAAAACACCAGTGACATTTTAGGAGAGTTCTGATTTATCAGGAGTGCTCACAACAAAGATGGCCGCCTTGGAAGCGATCGGTACTTCCCCCCTTACCCCACTACAGGACGAGAAGCTCAGCGACAGAAATTACAGTTTAACAGATGACAGTTCCTTTCAGAAATGACGCAGGTATTAAACTGCTCTGTGCGTGGCTAGTGACCCTTCCACCTTGGTCCTGCCAGGTGAGCTCTCATCATGTGGCTGTCTTTTATTTATTTATGTTTTCGGGGCACGTGGACCATTCACTGACTAACTCTACCAGTGTCTTACTCCAAAAATCAAAGACAACCTGTTGGTTTAGGTAAACTGCTATTCCTTGGAATCTGTGATGGGAAACAGGTCCCTTGAAGTCAGTTTCCACACATTTAAAATCAGTTTTCAGAAAAAAAAAATTCATCCCGGAAAAGGAACAGAAAATGAAAACTCGTAAGAACAAAATCCCCAATTTCATCTCTCAGTGGTACAGTGTTGGAGATTTTCAGGAAAATATATGGACTGGGGAAACTGGAATTGGCAGCATCCTGGGAATAAGGAGACTGGTTATCTTAAGAATGTAAAGTAACACAGTCCTAGTACCTTTCGAATTTGTCTATTACGTGTTGATTACACAGTGTATTTTAGAAACAGCAAAAACAATGTCAATCAAACTACTTGGCAAGTCCCCTCCTTTTCCTTTCCTCATTATTTAGTCCAACTCTTAACTACTGCCAAAAACACCCATGGGTTTTCAGACAAAAGCTGGAGGAGTGTCTCCTACCCACAAATAACATGCCTTTGGGAACATCTGGTAGACTGCCTAAAAAAATCCACATCCCACCTTACAACAAGTCTTAAATGTTGTGCAAGGATTCGGTATTATGGGAGAAATTGAGGAAGTTAAACTGATGGGCAAAGTTTGTAAGACCAGAAGTAACACGAGAAAAACAGAGCTAACCAACATTTTATAGAAATGTATTCAACTTCCCTAAGTCACAAAAAAATTAAAATAAGGAGGTGACGTTTCCCTAAGGTATGGAAAGAAAGCAGAGATAGTGTTTATCGGTGCAGCGAAATGTGCCACAGGGCTCCCAGAATGCCACTGGGCCAGCCCCACACCCTAAGCACCTGGCCTGCCACACCTAGAGAGCTCTGGAGTCCTGGGAACTCCTGATGTCATCTGGAAGGCGCTGGGTCAGTTTGTCCTGTGAGTCACCAAAAGGCACATTCACTTTGGGCCAGAAATCCCACTTCTTGGAAAAGTATCGAAGTGGAAGGTGCACACGTACAGAAATACTTCCTGAGGTCATTTACCATGTTCCCCGCACACCGCAGAGCAGGCAGAGCGGGGAGTGGGGGCAGCACCCGGTACTCACACGTGATCCCGATCTTGTAGAGCTCTCGGAATTTCTGGTTGTAGCCTTCTCCGGGCACGTAGTCCCCCAGGCCGATGGTGCTCAGGGAGATGAAGCAGAAGTAGAAGGACTCCAGGAAGTTCCAGTCATCCTCCAGGACAGAGAACACGGCCGCCGGGATGAAGAAGAAGCAGGACACGGTGACGAGCCCCAGCAGCACGGCGTGCACGATGGCCACCGCCTGCTTGGAGAAGCCCCAGCGCACGTGGAAGTAGAGGACCGGCCTGCGTGTGACGTGCACGGTGATGCGCTGGACCACGGCCGTCAGGAAGAGCAGGGTGAAGGGGATGCCGATGACGGAGTAGATGATGCAGAAGGCCTTTCCCCCGTCCGACAAGGGCACCGTGTGGCCATAACCTGCGAGGAGAGCAAGAGCAGGGGGAAGGCACTTTTAAGTAAGACACACCTGCTGTTCCCCCGGAACTAGACCGGCCGGGCGTCAGGTCTGACGCCGCAGAGGCTCACTGTAATTGTTATCGCAGTGAATTCCCTGTTAGAGGCCGTGCCGTCGGGAAGCCGCCCCCACGTGTAAAATCTTAGCAGCTCTTTGCAGCACAGCGGAGTCTGGCTTCCAGTTCATGGTCTGGCGGAAGCAGCAGTTCCGAGCGCTGAGCGAGGGCCCCACCAGGGAAAAGGCATCACAGGACACCTACTTCCCCAGGCTGGAGCAACCCCCTCCCACGCTCCCCCCCTACCCCCAAGGGTCCTTCTTAGTGTCCAAATGCCAGACTACACGGGCATCCAAAACAGACTGCTCACCGCATGGGCTATCAGACAGCCGCAGGTGCAGGTGGGGCGCTAGGGCCGGGCTGCCGGGGCCCTGCAGGAGCGAGGGTGAAGTGGACGCAGACCTCAAACACGAGGGAGAAAAGGAAGACTAAAGCACAGCACCTCACAGCCTCGAGCACTCCTTTTAAAATATTTCGCTCAGGTATCTGGCTACATGGCACAGCCAGAACACCATCCCTCCTGTCATTTCCGTAGGTTCTAGGATGCCATCGCTTCCACAAAACAAACATAAAAACACACACCAGTGGTCACAACAAACACGCGTTTCACTTCCCACCAGGTCCCGGCCACTCCCAACTCTGGCCAGTCCCCCACCCCGCAGCCAGAGAGCGCCTGCAGGGCGTGGGCCCAATGGCCACTTAAAGAATCTCACCAGCACATCATCCTGGAAGGATCGACATGTCTGAACAAGTCCGTTCAGGAAAAAAACCAACTAAACACATTTTTTGTGTGTATGAAATTAGATTCCGAAAAATCCTCACATCTGCAATTATAATTGAAAGGTGGTTTCAAAGTCGGACTTATAAAATATATCCGTCCTGCTTAAAAAGAAATGACTGAAAAATATTCAGCTACAGACACCCAGATTCTCTGCTTCATTCCAACCCCCGGGTGAGGCCCAGGTGGTCGCACGTCTTCCCTGGTTCCTGCGTGCACAGCGTCAGCCTGGGGGTCAGGGCCGCCAACCCGCGTCCCAGGAGACAGGAGGGTTGCAAACGAGCCACAGGGAGCCCACGAGCGCCCCGAAATCACGTGCAATGTATACATCTAAACACATGCGTGTTTCTCCGTGGGGAGATTCCAGGGCTTAGACTCTCGGAAGGGCCACGAACCAGGGTTCTGAGCACTGGTCCCTGAGCCCATGGGGTCCTCGAAACCCTCCGCCGCTCCTGGGGTCCTGCCACGAGAGCAGCGTGGTTAACGGGGGTGCTGGGCACATTGCAGGACCCAGAGAGTGATAACAGGAGGGTGGTGGAGGCATGCTGGAGGATGCAGGATGAAAGTTAGCAGGATCAAATCCAGGGTTTACTTTTGAGGAAACCACGTGACGGAGGAAGGAGACCGCTCGCTGAGTGAAGCAGCTCTCATCACAGAGGACCGGCCAATCAGAGCTCCGATCCGAACTAGTCACTGAAGAAGGATGTTCTACTGGTCAGAGACGCGTGGAAACAGAACCTGAAAATGCAGGTAACAAAGGCAAGAGGAAAACGATTCCCAAATCTGGTTACGAGACTGTGACCCGGAGACACTCAAGCAGAAGCTGGGGGGAGGCGGGGCAGGGGGTGGGGCTCAACCTCGGCAGGAACTCTGTAGGGGAAATGAGATTAGCTGAGTCAGTGCCGCTGGGTAAAAAGCCTTTAAATGCACGATTTTATAATGCTTCTTTATAGCATTTTTAGAAGTGATCTTTCCTAAGAGTATATATAACACACCGATTTCAACCCAGCCTATCTCTTCCGTATCATCTATTCCAATAAATTACGTGATTTTCATTCCAGCAGTAAGTAAATAAATTTGTAGTTTTAAAATATCTTAGGGTATAATTTTTACTCTCACATGATGATAGCTCTTTTTATTAGAATGAACTAAACCTCCATTTACCACAATGCTCTCTCCAAGCAATAGAGAGAATCATTATGAGACTCCGGAGATCATCTTCTGCTGTGAAGCTGTTATGCCAGTAACACGTTCCCACCGAGAGATTAAAACCACCAGCGTGTACATCTTCACTGAGAACCCCTTCCCTTCCTGATGCCTACGGAATCTTGTGAATGGAAAGTAAATGTCAACTTTACATCCCATTTGCATTCCCATACCTTCAGTGCTGGGGGGTGGTGGGGGGAAGGGGGGAACCTCCCTCTCTGCGGGGTGCTGGGCCCTCCTCTGCAAGACAGCTCTGGGCTCAGGGCTCGGGTAGGGACCTCAGTGAGGGGTGAAGAATGTACTCATGTGCAGTCAGTTGAACCCCCAGATAAATCACAAAGCAGGGGTCACATCACCCTCGAGGTTGCCTTCAAAGGGCCAAAATAACTTTAGAACTGTGGAAATGTAACTGCTCCTTAACTAGGGGCAAGGAGGTCGGTGCGGCCCTTGGGCCTTGTGTCATAAAGCAAAGCTTGTATTTTAAAATCTTATAATCATATTAAAATCGATCACAAACCATGAAGGAGTTAGCAAAATGTTAATAACCCTTACATGTAAATTTTTCGAAGGCTAGTCATATAATTTGGGGGGCCCAAAGACTGAACACGATGAAGCCTCCTGAGAAAATGGACTTAATAACACAGGGTCCTGAGAAGACATCCCCAGGTGCAAACACCCGTATACTCCTGCCCCCAACTGCACCCTGGCTGGGTTTCCTGTTGACCCTGCAGCCAGCCACATGGCACATTGGAATTTATGTGTAATGGGGCCGTACTCATGACAGTCTCCTAAGAAAGGTCGTTTCTTGACACCCCGCCAGCTAACTCCCGGGCAGGGACTCTGCCAGCTTGTCTGACTTGTGAGGCCTCCAGAAAAAAACTCTGGGGCCCCGTTTGGCACCTTAGAGCAAGGCTCCCCACGGCCCAGATGCTCTTCTGAGAGGTGCACCACCAGTCCCCGCCCGCTGTGACGCTGCACGCGTAACAGACATTTACATTATCTAGGGTGATGGGTAGGCACGATGTATACATTTTCCATAAGTTAACTTGATACGTGGTAAAAAAAAAAAAGCTACAAAAGAACAATGCCAACCTCTGAAATCAACCCCAGTGGAGTTATTGAAATAAGCGTCATGTCTCTCTTCAGTAGAACCAACTTTAGTTTGCAACCCTGGACCTGAACTTGTTCGCTCTGTCTCCCCCTCTAGACTGTGAGCCCTCCCAGAGGGAGACAACGGCTCTCTCCAGGCTCCCGGCCACAGTGCCCTCCAACGCAGGGACAGCAGTCACACTGGGGCCGTGAGTGACTTCGAATTCAGGAGGGCTAGAAACTTAGGGCAAGACAATGACTAGGCATCACATCCAGTTGACTTTTTCTGTAACTTTTATTTTTTGCTTGAAATAAGCTCTTCTCCCCATGGTTCAAAAAACTTAACTTCCAGGTACTCTGCATATAACAGGTCTTCCTAACTCTCTTTTGCAGGGCAATACTTTTCAAAAACCCACAGATGGAAACACTCTGCTCGCCCTGACCATGCATGTCACCGACATGCTAAGGCATATGCAGCGTGTTCCCCTGCTTACAGAAGGAAGTTTGTTTGCCAGAGAGGGAAATGCTGGCAAAGGCTGCAAGTGCGGGTGAGGCCGAGTACACGTGAGAAGGAGGCACAGATGGCAGGGGGCAGCAGGTGGAGGAAGTCACAGACGTGCATGTGGTCTCTGCTTTTCCTGGCCGCCACCTTTGGCAGATGGCACCTTGCTCACTTCCAAAGAGAGAGGGGCCCCAACACTCTTAGTTAGGGCACCACATGCTTCCTCGCCCTGGAGAGGCCCTTCTGCATTTTAAAACTGGAGGATCCCAGCACACGGCCTGAACATCAGGGGCAGAGCACCCCGCACTTTCTGCAGCAGGACTGTCCCGATTCAGCGGTGGACGAGCAATCAGGCACGGCAGCTGAGGCTGTACAAAGACGGCAGGTGAGCTCTGACCACCCCGCAGAACCGTCTCTGCTGGTTGCCGGCCCGTGTGAGAGTCTGAGTGTGCACAGGACTGTGCATCTGCGCAAGAGTCCATCCTAGTCCTTACTTCTACTTCACCAGTGAGAACCCCGGGTTTCCGAGAGCTTGGGTGGCGTGCTCCAATGCATAACAATAACTGGAGCCCATCATCTTTCCGCCGTGCCCACCCAGACGTGTTAGGCGATGTCTCTCCCTTTTTCTCTTTTCTTCTTTCTCCTATCCTCTCTCTCTAAAACTGGTCAATAAAAAAATTTTAAAAATGGTTCATAGTAAAATTCACCAATGACTCAACAAGTAAGTACATTTTCGTTGTAAAACTTCCAAAGTACAGAATGAAGCAAGTCTCCCTCACCACCCACCCCCTCTCCAGTTCTCTCTAGAGGTCACTATTAGGAGTTTATAGCCAAAAGCCCCTGAAATTTTTCTAAGCGTTTATGTATATTCCTAGAAAAACTGTGTTTTATTCTGTTTTCATCATAAACAGTATTCCACATGTATTGTTATTCTCCAACTGTCAGGTTTCCTTCGAACAATGTATCCTGAGATGCACAAAGACTTTTAAACACCGTGTTCGTCGCTAGGCAAGCCCCCTACCTCCTCTACCCACCCCCAGGGGATGGACAATTCGGGTGTTCCCAGTTTGTCTCTGTGAGCGACACCAGGTCAAAGGCGACCTCGTAGGTCACCGTGTCCCTGATGAGGAGTCACCTGTCTCTGCCTTTCCCTTCCAGCCTCACGTGCTGCACCAACTTCCAATTCAAAGGAGAGCTTATTCTCAGAAACTTAAGCCTGAGTCTGCGGAACCTGGAGCCCTGCCCAGCTCCGGCGGGAGGCCACGCCCCGCGGCTCACGCACCGCCCCCAGGGATGCCGGGGGCGGGGCCCTGCACAGGCAGCACCAGCTTCT